TCACCCTCCTTTCTTGCAGGAAGTATGTGGGTGTGAAGTAAGCACACATTCTGGACAGTAGGAAAGACTGTGAAAATGTACCCTTTGAAACACACCCTTTTGCACTCCTTACTGCAAGCAGAAGCTATCAGGTCTTTCAGTGCTTTACTGGTACCTTTGSGTATATAGCCACAGTGTTTCAAAACGGCAAATGCCACATTGAACGTACAGGCTAAAGATGTTGCCTTCTGCACAGTCAAGAAGATGTCTGAATGCAGCGTTCCACAAGTACCRCAGAATGATCATAAACCATTAAAGCTGTTCTTGTCCTTGCCGTTAGGTGTCCAATGAACCTGGCAACCGCTACAACATCCAGCTGATCAATGCCCTGGTGCTCTACGTCGGTACTCAAGCTATTGCGCACATCCACAACAAAGGCAGCACRCCCTCCATGAGCACCATCACCCACTCGGCTCACATGGACATCTTCCAGAATTTGGCTGTAGATCTGGACACCGAAGGTGAGCGGGAAACCCTTCTAGGACATGCRGAAACACTTCTGGGGCATGGAGTGTTTAAATCACTTGTTTAATATATTGCAGATTGTTTGAGCTGTGAAGAAGTACAGATGTTTTACCTAGTGAATCCATATTAAGTAATGCTGTATTAGAATATTAAACTCAAATGCAGGAGAAAAACTAAAACCGAACATTCAAGATATGCAAGAAAAGGAGACATGACTTTAATGAAATCAGAATCAACTTGGCTAGATGCTTTTTTCATACCTTGTTGTTTCTACTTTTGTGTAGCTGTGTAGACCAGAACCTTAAGCAGTGCTACTTGTTTCTCTACTTGGCATATTAAGGGCAACCATATGAACTGTACTGCTCACCCTCTGCAGGTCGGTACCTTTTCTTGAACGCAATTGCCAACCAGCTGCGCTATCCCAACAGTCACACCCACTACTTCAGCTGCACCATGCTCTACCTGTTTGCTGAGGCCAACACCGAGGCTATCCAGGAGCAGATCACTAGGTGAGAAGGGAAAGGCATCAACCTTGAGTGCGTTCAGCTTCTCTTTTTCTTCCCTGTGTAATGTGGACCTTGAGCTCTTAACTGTTTTTGCTTTTGAACTTTAGGGTTCTCTTGGAACGACTCATTGTAAATAGGCCTCATCCCTGGGGTCTCCTTATTACCTTCATCGAGCTGATAAAAAATCCAGCGTTTAAGTTCTGGAACCATGAATTTGTTCACTGTGCTCCAGAGATTGAAAAGTGAGTATAATTTAACTACTAAATCACTAAAACAGTACATCTGGAACGGACTGAGTCATACCTTGGGTCTTTAGAGCTTCCTAACAGAGGCACCAATCGCCTCTGAGATCACTCAGAATGCTGAGTGATTACTTGAAGTCTAGGAGCTGGCTACTATTTTTTCTCTGTCCACTTGGCAAGATGTATATTTTACTCCCATATGACTTGCTTTTGTGGTACTATTTTATGAAAGTTGGTGCTTGTCCTTGCACATGAGCGGATGGCTTTGGAAAATCCCAGGCAGAGCTGTTACCTTACAGCACTGACTGCACAGCCAGATGGCCTTGCAGTGCCGCTGCTTCACAACAGCATCTGATAGACCCACATTTGTCCTTCAGGAAGTCATCTATTTCAGCAAAGCTGAAATTTTAGTGGGAGAGCTTTGGTTCCACGGTGAAGTTTTTAGGCATCTCCGTGGTCCCTTCCGGGGACTGAACCGAAGCCAGGGCGCTCCTGCGATGCAGCATCCCRGCAAGGAGCCGAGGCTGGCCCCTGCGCCCAGCACCGGCCTCGCTAATTCCCGTGTGTTTGGGAGTGGGACCCACCACGGCTCATGGGCCAAGCCAGCGCCCCTAACGCCGCTTTGCCTCTGTGTTCAGGTTGTTCCAGTCGGTTGCGCAGTGCTGCATGGGGCAGAAGCAGGCCCAGCAAGTCATGGAAGGCACCGGCGCCAGTTAGAGGGGCCGCATCTCGCGCGGCGGGTGCGCCAGCCTGGAGCTGCCATCCCATCGACTGGCAGAGGAATCCGTAAGGCTCTTCCTGAYCTTCCCGGCCCCCGATTGGGTGCCTGCAGCAGACCTTGGGTGAAAGTCTGTGCGGGCACGTTCCAAAGTTTGAAACAAAAAAAATTTTTTGACTTTTGGCCAAAATTCAGAAGATGCTGTGAATATCATTTTGAACTAGTGTAAATACAAGGAACAGAAACGTTTGTCTGGACTTTTGGGTTTGTGCAAACTGTGTAAAGGCAGGTGGGTAACTGGTGCCTGTCCAGCTTGTAATAAAGGGGCAGCTGCTGATGCCAAGCACTTGTCTGGGGCAGACCTCCTTGTCCTGACATTCCCAGACTCCCAAAGAATATTGAAAAGCCAGTTATAATATTATGTAACTTATTTTTTCTTTATGTGGATGGGGGACCTTTAAATCACTAAGTTTTTTTTACAAAAAAAGTGGATGTGTTTGGAATACGGGAATAGGATGGAATAGGGAGGGGGTGAGGGAGGGATGTAGGTCCTCCCCACCTGCAGTGCAGACAGACGGCGATGGGGACAGCAGTCAGAAAGCCTCATTCTGTTGGAGAAGATTCACCTCACGCCCTTTGGGAGAGGGTCAGCTCTTTTTAGTGAAGAAACCAGAG